TATAGTGTTGGGATGTTAATGTGGGAAATATTTGCAGGTCATCCACCATTTGATGATAGAGCTCACAATCATCGTTTGATTTTTGATATATGTGCAGAAGGCTTACGACCATCAATATTACCCGGAATACCTGATGATTATGCTCAAATGATGCAGAGGTGTTGGGATGTGGATCCATCAAAAAGACCAACTAGTAGAGAGCTTCGAAAATTTGCTATAGATAAACGTGATGAAGTTTTTAAAAATGATAATAATGAAATTTTTAAAAATAAGGATTCAACAAATAAGAACTTAAAAAATAATAGTTTAATAAAAAGATTATTCAAATTTTCTAAAATCAAAAAACATGAAATTGATTTCAATAATAATGATGATGACAGCAGCAGTGGTGGTAGTAGTGCTTCGCAACAAGCACACAAATCCCATCCAGACGCATATCATGCAAGTAGAATATTGGATGAAGAGATTGCTAAATCTAAGAGCTTTAAAAATTATACAAGTAATGATAGTTCGTTGAATAACCTTGATTTTAACTCTTTTCTCTAAAATGTTAAAACAAAGGTGAATAAAAATTTTATTATTAATTAATTAATTGGAAATTACTATCCATTACTAATAAAATTAATTAATTAATTAATAAACATTAAATTCTAGTAACGATAGTAAAAGAAGAGAATCAACAAATGACTAATTTAATCTCCACTATAAATTTATTCATTAACTTTTTATTTATCTTTTTATTTTATCCTTACTTTGTTTCTTAAAGCTAAATTATAATGTTTTGAAATAATAAATCTTTTGACTCTTGTTAAATCGTGGTATCATTTCGGTTGATTAACAATTATGGCTTAACTTTTGCTTACTCTTCCAAATAATTTGGTGCTTGTCAATTAATCAGTTTGCAATTTTACTTTAGTTTCCTTCCTCTCTTTTACACCTGGACGAGTCTGTGAGCGCACTCAATTGCACCAGATAATTTGTAAATAAATAAAGATGCCCTTTTACAAAGCTATAAAGTTCCTTTTATTCACTTGTGATCGATTTACATTTATTGGCCGATTGCAAACTCGCTTTGAAAAAAGCTTAAGTAGCTTGTTTAACAGACTAACATTTACAATTACAATAATACTACCAGTATTTCCGATTAACCTTTGTACGATACTTTATTAACACCCACTAGTTAACCAACTTCAGTCTTGACCTTTTCTTGCTCACTAAAGCAAATTACGTTACTAATCATGTTATTTTTAAAAGCTTATTGACGTTTAATAAAAATGATGA